GTGTGTGTACATCAATCGCTTGGATTTACTTTACAGAGCAAAATTTCAGTGATGCGAGCACCAAGGGGCGTCCTGCCGATATTTTTTAAACCAACTTGCCGTCTCGCGCGGATTCGTAAAGTGCAGTCATAGGCGCTTCGTTAAGGACCTGCTCCCGGTTCTTCCAGTGCCGGATTATCCGAGTAGCACAAGTAGCTACATATGTAGTAGTAGCTACGGGCTCCACACTTTCAAGGGCCCCGCGCTAAATTCTTTCAAGCTATCAATTCCGGTTCAGTGATTCTGCACTTGCACTATTACTATAGTACTATACTTGCCTTCAACTTTTATGAGCGACGTGGCGTTTAAGGTTAGCGATTTGTCGTATTATATGGCTGTATAGCAAATGAAAACAAACAAATACTTTACTATGCAAGTAAAAAAAAATTGTGTTTTATATTTAGGGCCCCTTTATAACATATGCTACAGGCCCCGCACGAGCTTAATCCGGCACTGGGTTATTTCGAAATGAAACTCCGAAACGCAGAGGCCTAGTTACGACATTTCGGACGATTCGAATTTGGGGTTTTTGTTGTGTTTGTTTAGAATCGGAACAGTCCGGGAAAAAAACAACAAACCGAGGGATGACGCCACAACTGTGACGTCACTTACGCCCTAATTGACAAACTGGTGACGTCACTGTTAGCACACAAAGGACATTTTAACATTCGTACATTGTGGGAATAAACTAAACTATTTATTTTTTACCAGGTAAGGCCCACTGAGACACAGATTTTTTTCAGCAGCGATCTGGCCACAAATGCTAGCTCATCGAAGTGGGTTATCATCATGTGGAAATGTAGAGCAATCGAACACTCTAAACGCGTGATGTTGATTCTAAATGTGGAGGGGAAAACCGGAGGAACCGAAGAAAAATCCACACCACCTAGGGAGAGAGAGAAACACGCAAACTACTAATATACAGCAGGCGTCAGGGTTGGGATTGAACCCACGACCTCCTGCATACCAGGTAACGGAGTTAACATCTATCCACCGTGGAGCCCAAATAAAAAAAATGAACGTGAAATTGTCCTTAAAACTCGAATATTCAAACGTTCCAATCTGAAATTCATCCCTGCCGCGTTGTAGAGAAAGATAAAAAAAAATGTGGGGGTGGCGGGTGAAATATTGACAACGAGTTTTGTTTACAAAATCGGTGAAACGAGTTACACAAAATCGGAAGCCCGAGCCCTTCAATCCGCCGGGTTGGCAAATGTGACACTTTGGGGAGGTCAGTTCTCGATTCCTACCGATCTGCAAGAGACACGCGGCGAGGTCTTCCACTGTGTGACACTTTACATACAAAACAAAAACACCGCTTGCATTATCCCGTGTGTCACATGCTCAGAATGTATACACATAAATTTAACTTAAATTAAACCCTTTGCGATTCTATATGTTAATGTGAATAATACTCGAAACCTAAATCACATCTCGGCAGACAATAATCGCTTTGATGATGTTTCTACATTAGTACCAGTGATAGAGATACCATAATTATCAGCCAAGGTCAATGAACTGCTGGATGAATCAATCAGACTATTTATAGCGGAGGAATCCGATGAGCTACAAAGATATTTTTCATAGATGTCCCCCAGTCGCCTTCCCAAGCCCTCCCGCCGTAGCCACCTCTCACAGCCATGCGACGTAACAATCCACCCAGAAGCTATTCACGAGCTGATTCAACCGCTCCATCTCCTCCGTAGACGCGCTCACCGGCGCGTTCCATCTCTTGGCTGCTGCTCCGTTATTGCTCTTGAGCGTTGGGCATCGTCCATTCGAGCCGTGACGCGTCCCTCTCACACCCCACCCCAGCCACTCCTCTTACCAGTGTGGACGACGTTGTTAACCTGCGTGCGTTCATCTCATCCACGTGTTCCTCTTTCTGTATCTCAATGTTATTCCAAGCGCGCATCTGTTGGATCTTTTCACTGAAAATCAAATATCATCAAAGGAACATTGGCCAACTTTTTTTTTATTGGGCTTTTAATATTGAAACACTGTAAGCTAAGAGTGAGATCTACCAGACTCCGGTCTCTGGATCTTCTCTTATCATACCAATGAAAGGACACGTGTGTGTTCTCGATGTCTAGTATATATCACGTTACTGCAGTGGTAAGGAACCGAATATTTGGATAATATATATGTCTCATACACGGATGGAGAGGTGGTGCGGTGGTTAGCACGACTGCGCTAAGTGTTGGTTGTCCTGGGCGTGATCTCCATGCAGGACTAACATCAATGGCGAATGAAACCTGAACGGATCCTGGATCCCCCTCAGTTTCACCAAACCGTACTGAATGACGCGGTGAAATATGAACTAAATCTGAACTATGTTTTATTTTCCCAGGAAAGGTCCACTTAACTCTATAGCTCTTTTTTCAGAAGCTACCTGTCGACGAATGATAGCTGAACGAAGTGGCTTATCATTATGTGGAAATGTAGAGCAGCCCAATACTGTAAATGCGTTATGTTGATTCTCAATGTGGAGGGAAACACCGGAGGACCTGGAGACAAATCCACGCGACCATGGGGGGAACATGCAAACTTCAAATATACAGCAAGCATCAGGGTCGGCATCGAACTCACGACCTCTTGTATACCAGGCGAGGGAGTCAATATCTCGCCATACAAACCCCCATTACCGACATGAAATTGGGAGGCCTCCATCCATCAGTGGACTGACAAAGCGTTGTAAATTACAACTTCACACGGAGGGTTCCGCAGCCAATATAACCATTGCAACATTTGGTTCGATAATTACGGGCACTAACCCGAACTCAATTACGAATCGTATAAATGTTGTCGTCGTCGTCGTCAGCCTCTAACTTCGCACTGCTGAGCAATTGTCTCTCCGATTTGTTTTTACCATTCTTTCCTTTCCCGAGTTGCATTGTTCCGTGTAATGTCCGTTGAAATTGTTTCGCACCGTACGTAGCCAATCGCGCTAACCGGAGGTACGTCCTTGTCCAGTAGTGTCATCCGTACTACGCAGTAGACATGCCAACGTTGGCCCAACGTTGGCATGTTTACTGTGTCTCATTCTATCAGTGATAAAAATATATATAATATATTGCAAATGACTGACATTGGAACGTTGACCGAGTGGAATACCCAATAGAAGCCGCCGTGCTCTCATCCCAAATTCAGTGGCAAACTGCACAGCCGCTCAGCGTGCTGGAACTTGGAGTGCCTCCCGTTGAGTTGACGGATGGCTCGGGGAGAAACACGGTTTTCTTTTTTGCTCATCGGCCCTGGCTTCGCACATTAATACCCGTGTCATGCAACGATACCAGAGTGGCCCGGCCGGACTGAACGATGTACATTTTGGACGCTTCCAATTACAGGTTCGCATCCACCCAAACGCGTGAGCCTCGAACGAACGAACGCCGGTGGTAATTTACGCGTTTTACTGTCCGTGATTTCAGTGGTTTTAACTAAAAATAACCGTGAGATGGAATTTGCAGAGTTTCCCCACGTAGCGCCGAATGCACAGGGGAGAGTCTCGGCGTGCAGCGTGGGTGAGCGGTGTGCCGCCAACATCTTTCAATTGCAACGAAACCACCACCACAACCACCACCACAACCATCATCAGCAGCACCACTACCCGCACAACTTTCAGCACCATCATCACCGTCAGCACCATCACAACCACCATGACCATCATCAGTGCCACCATCATTGTCCATCAGCCATACCTCTACCACCAACACCACCACCTGCACCACTGCACTCATACTGAGACTACAACATCATTACAATCTGTTGTTGTTGTTTTTAGCTCTAATCACAAAGAATAGAGGTGGAACGATTTGGCATCCCCGTGACTCGATATACATTGTTGTGATTCTGGGATGCAAATCATTATTGTGTTTTCAACATCACAGCGACCTCTTGTGGCTGCACACGACGTACGCATTGGAGTGGAATAAAAATCCCTATCGATTCATGGACATGCAAATTCGATGTAAATGATGTGAACGTAAGAATCTAAATGCATCGATGCATCGTTGCAGCTCTGCTTGTTGGAATTTCAGACGGAAAAAAACACGCTCAGAGTCAGCTGCTTTGGGGGAGCGGTGTCGCAGTGGTTGGCGCACTGTAACTCTGAACCTGGCTACTTGAGTTCAATTCCTGGTCCCGGCGGATATCAGTGGCGAGTGACATCAGAGCCGGTCCTGGGCATCCCCCTCCCCCCCAACCTGACCCTTCACCAACCCGCGCTGACCAGCGTGGTGAAGTATGGTCAACCCCCCCCCCCCCATGACCAACACGGCATGGGGAGGCCTTCATCCAGCAGTGGATCGACAAAAAGCTGCACATTATTCATTTTAATCAACTGCATTACAATTGTAACCACCCGTTTTACTGTTACACCGTTAAACATAAAATCCCATTACTGGAATACGCCTTCTGTACATATGCATAACATCTATATCTTTCTATCCTTACACAGTATATACACGCACGCGTGGGACGGTCAAAGAGTTTTGAGAACAGGATATTTTAGAGGTACGAATATACTCAAACTTATTGCTTTGTGTTTTTTTTTATCACAATCGCTAACACCAATGCGTTACTTCTATAGCAGCACGCGGGTCAGTGGCGGTGGCTCGTGGCTCCAGGTTGCGGAGGCTACAAAAGTCCACCTCGGGGATTTTGCCAGTCTCAGTTGATCACGCAAGCACGGGGACTTATTTACAATCGGAACAGAAAGGACACGCGTGGTCAGAAAGATGATGGAAGCGTGTGTATGTTGAGGTTATCCTCGCGCCGTATGTAACTAACCGTTGCTAATCGGAGGTGCGGACACCAGAACCAGTGATGGCTTCCGCTGGACCACTTCTTAGTGGGTCTCTATTGGAATCTATGGGTCTCCATGTGAGTCTATGGGTCTCTATGTGAATCTATGGGTCTCTATGTTAGTCTATGGGTCTCCATGTGAGTCTATGGGTCTCCATGTGAGTCTATGGGTCTCTGTGTGAGTCTATGGGTCGCTTCATGAGTTAATGGGCATCTATGGGAGTCTATGGACCTTCATTTGAGTTTATGGGTCTCTACGTGAGTCTATGGGTCTCTGAGTGAGCGTAGGGGATCTCTATGGGGGTGTATGGATCTCTGTGGTAATCTATGGATCTCTATGGGAGTCTGTGGGTCTCCATGTGAGTATTTGGCTTCTCCGTATGAGAAAGCGCTGATGACGAAGCCACTGCCGGGCAATTCAAGTTTCTCAAAAACTGCAAATTCACCTGCACGCGTCATCACCTGAGAACGGAAAACCGACACTGAGGATTCATTCAAGATCGAGTTGACCCAAAATGTGATCAACTTTTCATAGTTTCAGTATCTCGCTCTCAAAACACGTTTAAATCACATTTTACACGATAAATTATCGTACATTTTTTTCGTAATGTCCGTAATATCATTCAACGTGCACGACTTACAATTGAGCTTAGCACGCAAGCCGGACACAAGAGGTGACGATCACGATTACATTCGGTAACAATTATTGCCTCTTTGACTTTCAACTGTGGGTGGGTGGTGGGTTGACTGCGGGCGGGGGCGGGAGGACATTCAAATGCTGTAAAGTATACTTTTTGGTTCTTTCGGTAAAGTCACGAAAGAACAAAAGTATGGATTCCTGCAGTCACGAAAGTTTCAAAGCAATGCTGTAAAGTGTTTCAGCTGCGCAGTGGCCGTGTCGTCTCTCGTCTCTCGCTTCCCTCCAGTCCCTCGCCACGAACGATTCCCGCACCTTTGCTCAAGAGCAAAATTCACCGCGCAAAAATAAACCAAAAAACAACCCCAACACCATTACCCCTCTTCCTTTCGTTGTCGACCGATGACCGAGTGCTTTTATTGTTGTTGTTGTTGTTGAAAATACTACAAAGAGAAAGGAAATATATTTTCGACGACTGCCGAGTGTCCGCATCCCTTTTGTATATTTTTGTTGTTGTTGTTGATTTAAATTGTAAAAAAAGGGGGGGGGGGGGTTACGCTTACTCACGCCTACCGCGTCATCATCCTCAATACTGCAAAACACCCGACATCAATGCGCGTAAATACGGAGCGACGCCAACCAACGCAGCGTTGGGAATCTTTTTTTTAACTTACGAACTCTCTTGTTCACGACCCGTCGATGACCGCATAATTTTGTACATATATATAATTTACATTCATGCATAAACACGTGCGTGCGTGCGTGTGCACTGTGTGTGTATTCGGCGAAGGATGTCACGCCAGACAGATACAATTCGCTACAGCCACTACACCAACATCTCCCGGTAGCCCGCGGGGATTCTCTTGCAAAAGCGCTCGCAGTGCCCTCCGGGCAAACTCTGCTGCTGACCGCAGGCGGCAGTTGGCCTCGGAGGTCATAAGGTCGTGGACCTCCCCGAGAGAGTCCTCATCGAGAAACTGAGAAATCACAACTCCGCTTCTTCTCTTTGCATTAAAACTGTGCAAATTTTAGTTTTTAATGCACACACGCAGGTGGCGCGTGGCGTAGAGAGCTTTCACCTCTGTAGGTTAAAAATATAAAAAGTAAACGGGGTGCATCACGGGGGATTACTAATCTCGCTCAATACCAGCAGAGGAGAGAACTACGTGTTATAATATCGTTTCCAGTCGTTTATTATTAATGTTACTCCTTCTACTACTACTACTACGCAAAATGACATTAAGCGGAACTATGAAAGACCTGGGAAGACTTACAGATTTCGGAGGACAGCAGCTGCCTCCTCCTCAACAACAAGAAGAAGATTCTGTAAAAAAATACGGGACAGGTGGCAACCCCAGCTTGACAGCGCGTCTTGACGATGGAAAACCGCAACCTTCAAAAAATAGAAGCAGCGTCCCTATTTTGGTGACGGCCTATCGTTTGCATAATATCTCATCGTTCGTCACTGTTTTAAAATTGGTATCAATTACTGCAAAATCCTTCACGTTGATGTTCGCGAATGGAACGTGGGTTTGAAAAAAAACCCCCACCCGCGATGGACTCCTCGGTGGGGAGGAACATCCCTTGTGTCCTCCCTCCTCCTTATCCTCCTCCTCCTCATCAACAAACAGCGACACAAGATTTTTCAAAATCCCCGTGTGGATCTCACCATCCTGGGGTTCCACTTCTCATCGGTCCGACTTCCCCCCAACCCTCCCCCGCCCCCCGCACAAGGCCACATCTGCCACCGCCGCCAACACCGCCACCACGGCCGCCACCGCCGTCGTTGCCGGATATCCACCTGGATATCCGCCCGCCGCGAAGACTCCTCACATGCGCGTCTCGTAAGTGACGGGCGATGCGGCGCTCTCCTCGGCCGTCCCCTCCTCGCCGGTGCCGTCGGCGTCGTTGCCGCCCCGCGCCCCCCGCTTCCCCTCCTGCCTGGAGGCGGTGGCGTCGTCGTCGTTGGACAGCTTGCTGTACGCGTGGCAGTGCCCGTGCAGCTTGATGAAGTGGCGCCCGTCCCCGCCCGCTCCGTCGCCTCGCCTCGAGCCCAGCAGCGGGGAGCTCTCCACGTGGTTACGCCCGCCGTCGTAGAAGCCCCCGCGCACGTGGTTCCCCAGCGTTGGCGCGCCGTCGCCGCCGCCGCCGCCGCCGGCGCAACCGCCGAAATCGCCGCAGCCGCCGACGACGACGACACCGCCGGCGCCGCTCGCGACACCGCCGCCAGCGGTGGCCGCGCCGGCGTCACCGTCGCCGCCCGGGTTACGCCCGACCGGCGCCAGCAGCTCCGCCTGCAGCAGCGCCCGGGCCAAGTCGGCCGCCCCTCCCATGTCGTCCTCCCAGGACAGCGCGCTCTTCTTGCCGTTCTCCGGCGCAGACGGCGAGCCCTTGATGTTGTAGAGCAGGGGCGCCGGCTTGCGCTGCTCGCCCACGTGAGCCCTGCTGGGGGCCGCCGGTGCCGGCGCGGCGATGGGGCCGCCGCCGCCGCCGCCGCCAGCCGTCGCCGACTCGGACAGAACCCCGCTGCCGGACTTCACGACGAGCCTCACGGAGGAGACGTTCCCGTTCAGCTCGTTGACCGCTGGGTGCGACCCCCACAGCAGGGAGCCGTGGGAGGCGCTCGTCAACTTGGAGGTACCGGCGCCAACACCGGCAACGCCGCCGGCGCCAGCGCCGACGCCACCGTCGCCGTAACCGCCGCCGCCAAACATGTCGCTGTACGCGGGGAAGACGCCGGTGGTCTGGCTCCCGTCGCTGCTCGGCTGCACGTCGAACTTGGGCATGGAGAAGTGCGGGGCGCGGGGCGGCTCGGCGAGGAGGCGCGGGTGGGCGTGGATGTTCCCCTGCGAGCCGTACGCCTGGTGGCCGCGGCGCCGGCACGGCGTGCTCGTGGTGGTCGAGCCGGGCGTCTTGCCCAGGAAGTCGGCGCTGCAGCTCGCGAAGCTGTCCAGGCTGGAGAAGCTCTTCTTCGTGTCTACGGCGGGCGGCTCACGCAGCATGCCGCCGCCGCCGCCGCGGGGCGGGAACACCGCCGGGCCCGCGCCGCCGTGCGGCGGAAGTGGCAGCGGCGGCGGTGGCCCCAGCAGCAACGTCGTCGTCGTCGTCTGCTGCTGCTGCTCCGTCGGCTTGCGCGGACGCTCCAAGCCCATCAGCTTGTCCGCGAACGCGTCCTCGAAAGTTTCGTTGGTGGCTCCTCCGCCTCCGCCGCCACCGCGGGCCGCCGCGGGCCCGCCGACCATCTCGTTGTAGTCGTCGTTCAGCTTCTGCGCGTCGAGATTGAGCGGCGCGGCGGCGGCGGCGTTGTTGCTGCGATTTTCCTCGGCGAGGCTGTCGAGGCGCTCGGCGCCGTCGAAGGACCTGGCGGAGCTCGTCTCCGACACGGTGCGCTTCCTCCACCGCCACTTGCCTGGCGAGTGCGCGCCGCGGTCCACGAGGACGTCGGAGAGGTCGCCGCCCTGCGGGAAGACGTCGCGCGAGTTCATCGACACGATGCTGCCGTTGCGCTTGGCGCGCTCGAGCGCCTCGCGCCGCTTCACCGCCTTCTCCTGGCGCTTCTGCTCCTTGTAGAACTCGCTGAAGTTGTTGACGATGATGGGGATGGGCAGCGCGATGACGAGCACGCCCGCGATGCAGCACAGGCCGCCCACGATCTTGCCGAGCAGCGTCTGCGGGTAGATGTCGCCGTAGCCCACCGTGGTCATGGTGATGGTGGCCCACCAGAAGGAGGCGGGGATGCTGCGAAATTTCGTGTCGTCCTCGTCCTTCTCGGCGAAGAAGACGAGGCTGGAGAAGATCATGATGCCCATGGCGAGGAAGAGGATGAGGAGGCCCAGCTCGTTGTAGCTGCGGCGGAGCGTGAAGCCCAGCGACTGGAGGCCCGTCGAGTGGCGGGCCAGCTTGAGGATCCTCAGGATCCTCATGATGCGGAAGATCTGGACGACGCGGCGGACGTTCTGGAACTGCAGCACGCTGTGGTTGGACTCGGTGAGGAAGATGGTGATGTAGTAGGGCAGGATGGCCAGCAGGTCGATCACGTTCAGGGCACCCTTTGCAGACGCGAAATGACAACAACAAAAAACAAGCCACTAGTCACACTTGGCGCGTCAACGTTCGGCTTCGGGGAGTGAACCAATCGGAGTGAGATTCGATTGGGGTGATGTGGAGGGTTTCCCTGGATCTGCTTTATGTATCCATGTCGCTATGTTGAACTTCTTTCGCACCGCCCATAGCCAACCGTGCTCATCGGAGGTGTGCGGAAAGGACAACAAACTAAACACAAAAAGCGGTTAGAAAGAAATGAGTTTTCAATCGACTGCACTTTCAGCTGTTATCATACAGGATGTAAAGTTGACGCCGCAAGCAGAGTCGAGCGTGGGTTGCGCTCGAGATTGCTTTGGAGTTACCAGGCGATGGAAGCGCAACAGTGGATTCTTAAATCTGTCTGTGCGAAGCTTTGAGTGTCACCCCCACCACTCCCCCCCTCGTTTTTAGCGCAGTGCTGGGTTTTCTCCGGGCGCTCCGTTTCTTCGTGCGCTCATTTTTTTTTTATTGGACAAGATCCCAATGCAGCAGGACCCTCCTGAAATAAAACTTTGAGACCCAGTGAGACATCCCAAGGTCAAAAGGAGTATTGGTTAATTCAATGGGACACGTAATATGTTAACATATCACGTGTCGTTCATCACATCATTACTATTCTTTTCCATTATTTGTCAATCTATTTATTGGATTCAGGACTCCTCGTGCCGTGTTGGTCATGGGGATTGTTTGACCATACTTCACCACGTGGGTCTATTCGGATTAGTAAAAGTTTTTAAAATTATTTATCACCCTGGTACAAAATACATTTTTCGCTAAACAGATGTGGCTGGGTTAGATTCAGGGGTCAGAACCACTGATCCAACATCACCGAGGTCCTGGGTTTGAACCGGGGTTTCAATCAACTATGATTGAACCAAGTTCAATCACAGTTGATGAATGACTGAAAAGTAATAAAAAAACTACCCCATCCTGTAAAATTTGCTCTTTCATGTAACTTGGAAAAACATTCCAGATGTGAGCTTTTAACATCTCTGTGACAAATGGTGTCTCTGTAACCGGGCATGTGAGAAAATATTGATTTTTATTCTATTTTAATGTGACCAGGTAAGGCCCACTGAGCTATTTTTTTAGAAGCGACCAATCCACAAACGAAAGTTCAATGAAGTGGCTCATCACATGGAAATGTATTGCGGCCAAATACTTTAAACGCACATTTCCAAATGTGGTGGAAAATTCCAGAGGACTCGGAGAAAATCCACGCCACCACGGGGAGATAAACTCCGAGTATAGAGGTGTCAGGGTCGGGACCGAACTCACGACCTCCTGTATACCAGGCGAGAGAGTTAACATCTCCTAGCCACCGTGGCGAGAAGTGTGTTCTGGGGCACTTGAAGGGGTCTCAGAAGTAGTTCTGTGAGATCTCCTTCGACGGACCGATCATCTGACACGTGGAGTGACGCACAGCTCTGAGTTCTAAATTAGCCCTTCGTCTCACACTACGACATCGACAGTGCAACTGAAATAACATTTAGGAAATTATCAAATGTAACAAACATATCATAGCCTTTATCTATCCTCTTCCAACACATCTAGTTAACCCACTGCTGGATGAGCCCAACCCACCCCCAACACACATCTGTTCAATGTGGAAGAGTAAACCAAACACCACCCTAGACTTCTCACAGGTGGAGGCTCTTCCATCAGCAGTGGTGAGAGCATCTCCTGCTGCTTCAGCTCCCCACTCCCAGCCCCGCTCTCTTCCCCGCCCCCCGACATCGTGTCTCTGCTCGCCCTTTAATCCCTGCTAGTAGCGCTCCACTTGGCAGCGCTCCACTCCCCCTACTCCACACCCCCCTCTCTACCTCTCCTCCCTGGCTCCTTCCCCCTCTCTTACCTACATAGCCGCTTGTTACAGCAGCCCCTTTTGCCCACTTCAGCGATTGTTTCTTGCTGCGGTTGTCCCACCTGATGACGGACGCTTGTGTTGCGCCCAAAACGTCGTGATTTAATTTATTTTATTTTATACCTACGTGACTTTACCGAAAGAACCAAAGAGTATGGAATGAATAGACCGCTAAGCAAGAGCTGGCAGATTGCGCATGTAAGTAATACCCTTTATACTGGTAGGAACGAAGTTGTAAACTGAGTGTACCAGCCTGCAATAGATGAATGCGTCCGTCCGTCCGTCCCCTTTCAATACTTTAACGAAGTGAAATCTCGTGCTGTTGGGTGTAAAAAAAATTCCAATGTTCCTACCAGCCCACCCTGCAAGGACCTGTTTTACACGGGCAAGCCTCGCACAGTGTTAAACACATTTACGACGTTGCGGCCCTCCCTCCGGCCGACTGCGGTCACCTTGAAGAACTTCCACTTGTTGGGCGAGGAGAGGAAGCGCAGCATGTACTCGGTGGTGAACCACGCGATGCACACCGCCTCCACGTGCGCCAGGCTCGGGTTGTCCATCACGTTGCCGTACTCGTCCGTCTCCTGCAGGTCGGGCAGCGTGTTGAGCGACAGCGCAATGGTGGACAGCACGATGAAGAGGATCGAGATGATCGCCAGCACCTTGGCGGGAGACGGGGAGGGGCAGAGAGATAGAGAGAGAGAGGGCAGAGGATGGGGATTGTTTTTTTTTACTGGCGAGTACAGTACGGTAAGTCGTTCGCTTAACACGTGTCCATGCGATGCGTTTTCGCTGTTACGCAGTTCTTCAATTCAGGAACACTGTTACGCACAACGCGCTTACTGAGCTGTCGACGACGAACTCATACTTTCTTGAGCGGTTCGATACATCCTGCGGAATGATGCAGTAACGGGGGCGGCGTGCCCACAACAGGTGTTAGGGACGGGATCGAACCCACGACCTCCTGCATACCACGCGAGGGAGTTAACATCTCGCCACCACGACGCCCCCGTTCTTTGTCCCGCCACGAGGATCACTGCAGGCTGACTTTATAGTGCAATCTTGATTCAGGAGCAGTAATTCACCGTTTAACGCGGTTTTCGCTTAGCGCGAAACCTTTCCGGAATGCACCCGGCGCGTTAAAACGAGGAATTGCTGCCCACGTAAACACAACGCGCGCGTGCTGCTGCAGTGGCGTGATTGGTCAGCAGTGCGCTGGAGGTCGCCGGTTCAAATGCGATCTCCCGCCGTGGCAGTTGAAAGGATGGTGCCATGAATCCCAAGCCCGCAGCCCTGTCCACACAGCAGTGTAGATGGGTACCCCTAACCCGGTCCCCGCACCCCCCCCCCTCCCTGCCCGCCACAGTCAGTTGATCGGCACGTTACGAGTGGTGGGGTAAAAATGTGGGTACTCACAGCTCTTACTAAATTATCTGGCCAGCATGGGACAGTAGGCCAAATACTGCTCTGGAGAGGCTCTAGAGAGCTTCATCTATTGGGGGCGCCGCATTGTTACATTTTAAGCAAAGCCAAAGCGGCACGGTGGACGTCAAACACTGCGGGCTTATTTCGTTGGCGAGTGCGCGAGGCGACCTGATCCCGAGCCTTGGGTCATCGAAGCTGAACGTGCATCTGCCATTGTAGATACACGCCTTGTGGGGAGCGGTGGTGTAGCGGTTAGTGCTACGCTGCGCTACGAATCCGGCGGCCCGGGTTCGTTTCCCGCTCACGGCTAACACCAGTGACGATTATCTGAAACCGCCCTGGGCCTCCCCTAGGTCGACTGAGCCTCAAATGAGTACCTAGTGCGGTGTGTAATCACCGCCACTAGGGAGACAAAGGCGGCCGGGCGTGGTGCTGGCTACCGACCCCCAAATGTACCGTGCCGGCCTTCATAGGTGCTCGCTTACAGCACTTGCCCCAGCAGTCTGTTCAGGCTATACGGGGGATCTTTGTCTTTGCCTTCCCTTCCAGAGGCACTTGTAAAACATAGTGGAACGTCCAGAGGCAGCTGCAGCAAGATCCACGTGTTGCTTTGTGTATTTTGCGCTCACGGTGTAAATTTTTTAATGGGAAATTTCCATGGGAATTTTATATGAGAAGTATTTTTTATATGGGAATTTAATTGGGAATTTTGTATGGGAAGTCTTTTTTTTATATGGGAAGCCTAAACGGTGGAGCAGCTGTCGAGTGATCAGGTCACGAGTTCAAATCCTGGTTGGGGATGCCTCAGCCTATCATCCCTCTGGGCCCAATAAAATGAATACCACTTTGTGGAGCAGCTTACAGTGGTCGTCCTATGCATAGACTCACCGCACCCCACCAGGGGAATGTGGAATTTCCACCACTGGCTCAAAGACTATAAAACAGGAAATGTGTACCGCCGAGATGCTCATTTGAGCAAAAACACTGACTTTTGTTGTTGTTGTTCGCATAAAGTCTAAAAATCCTGGACTTTTATTAGCAATAAGCTTCCCAACAGCGTCGTTTCGCGAGTCTAAGTGTCGAAGCGCAGGCCAACGTATGTTTCCATTGCGTAAATGACAACAATAATAATCTGAAAATAAGTTAGTTTTTTGCTCAACGTGATCAAGCCACAGGCGCCGTGGTGGCGAGATATTAACTCCCTCGCCTGGTATACAGAAGGTCGTGGGTTCGATCCCGACCCTGATGCCTGCTGTATATTTGGAGTTTGCGTGTTCTCCTTGTGGTCGCGTGGATATTTCTCCGGACCTTCCGGTTTTTCCTTCCACATTTAAAAAAACACACGCGCTTTGTGTTTTTGGCTGCTATTCTTTTCCACACGATGATAATCCACTTTGTTGAGCTATCATTTGTGGCCAAGTGTGAAAAATAGCTAAACAGCTCAGCGGGTCCTTACCTGGTTAAATGCATTTTGTTTAAGTTTAAAGCGTGATTCATTTCTCGTGCACTTTAACCCCGTGTACACGTGAAATAAATAATTCGCCGGGGCTCCGAAATGCGAGCGACGGATTGAGACATCGATTAGCGCACTTCTTCGCGCCGCGAGGCCTCAACCAAAGCTTCGCAAGAGGTCACGCGGCTCCCCCTCGCCGCTCGGCATTATTTGAGACCGGACGGCGGCGAAGAGCGGACGCGCCGGCAAATTTGTAGTCATTTTGCTCGTTTCATGCCACAGAGATAAGGGGAGTGGAAGCTGGGTATGGTCGGAATGGGGGGGGGGGGCAATGCTCAGATTGAGTGTTCGAAGCTTGATTTTTTTTTTATCTGCGTCGAAATGTCAGCGGCGCAATGAACGACGAACGCGATTGCGCGTGTCAATGTCGTGCCCCGGAGCTGTCGAGCCGAGAGTGAAACGGTGGTCACGTGCGCAGCCGCGACCCACGCCCCACGCTCGTCCGCTCACCGCATGCGCGCCCCCCCCCGCCGCCCATCCCTGCACTCTCCCTCCTCCCTCCCCTAACGTCTCTCAGCATTGCTCCGCAGTTCAGCTTTCACAACACACAACGATGCCTGCACCACCCACACATCCAAGAAAGGTCGCCCGTTTCTCGGCTGAACAGACTGTTGGGGCAAGTGCTGTGTTAGCCAGCACCTTACGAAGGCCGGCAGGGCACAAGGGGCGGGTGTGGCGGCACCACGTCCTTCCGGTGGCGATGTTCACACACCGCATCAGGTACTCATTTGAGGCGGAATCGACCTAGGTTGAGACCCAGGACCGGTTTACATCATCGTCACTGGCGGTGGCCGAGAGCGGGAATCGAACTCAGGTCACCGGATTTCGTAGCGCAGCGCCGCGCCGCGCTAACCGCGACGCTACCGCTCCCCGTACGTCCGCACGGCCACGCACGCACACACAGAGCAACACGGCCACACGCACACGACACCGCCACACGCCAACACACTCGCAGACCAACATACCAACACACTCGCACGCACGCGCACACACCCACACACCCGCGTGCACAACTGAGCTCCCCAGAGGCAGTCGACGCTTCTGAATGGAATACATTTTTAATGCGACTTATTTCCCTGCCGCCAGAGCCCTGCCACTATTGGGTTAGGTCCAGTGACCCCATCCGGCAGGTTGGTGTCCTGGGTGAGTGACGCCAGGCCTCGTGGTGCCGTGCGCAGAGACAGATCCGCATTGTATGATTATAAATGTCATTGTGGGTTTACTCTCCAACACACCGGTGTGCTGAACTAGTAACGAATTGGCACGTTTTGTTTTGCGTGACAAACCTTACTAATTGGCCGTGTCGGATGGTGGCGGGTTTAACGACGTGTTTATATATTTACGCGATCTAAACCAAAAACCTCTATTATGGACGGGCGTAGATCTTTGTTGAACTTCTTTTGCACCGTACGTAGCCAACCGTCCTAATCGGAGGTGCACCGTAGCTGCCGGCGTGGCTATTCGTGAAGGAGCTTTCGTGGATTTCCGTGAGATTGTGGATGTCCATGAATCGCGGTGGCGAGATGTTAACTACCTCGCCTGGCATACTGGATGACCGTGCGTTCGATCCCGACCCCGACGCCTGTTCTGTGTTTGGAGTTTGCGTGTCTCTCTTCCCATGGTCGCGTGGATTTTTTCTCCGGGTACTCCCATTTCCCCCTCCACATTTAGCACCGTGCGTTTCGAGTATTTGGCTGCTTAAAATGTCCACACGATGATCAGCCGCTTCGTTGAGCTATCATTTCTGGCCAGGTCGCTTCTGAAAAAAGAGCTACATAGCTCAGTGGGCCTTACCTGGTAAAATAAAAAGAGTAAAGTATGTTTCGTTTATCTGATGACGCTACTTGCTGCTGCTGCGTTGGCAGCGGTGCACAACCACAAATAACAAAACAATCTCAACGTGTTCGGTAATAACGCCATGTGGCTTTAACAAAAAAAAATATATAACAGGCGACTTTTCAGGCAACGGAACTTTTTCAAGGGACAAAGTGAAGGCCACAAATGATCCACAAACTACTCAAATGGGATTACACATCTACGCACGTATGTATGTGTGTTGAACGTCTTTCGCACCATACGCGGCCAACCTTGCTAATCGGAGGTGCGGGTTCGTGATCGTGGCAGACTAATGCCCTTTTGCCGCACAGGGACAGCTGCCACTTTGAGTTGCAGTGGCGGTTAAGCAAGTGCCATATAAACGTAAACTATCCTAGCCATCGTTATTATTATTATATAATTGTCCACTCTGTCTGCTTCCTCGATCTCTCTGCTTTGAAGAAGGCCATTGCCCGAAATGTCACTCGCAATTTGCCTCCTTCCAGGGCAGTGTTATTGATGCACGCATTGAGTTTTTGGAATTTTTGGAGGTTAGCGGACTGCGTCCCGAGTTCGATTCCCGGCGATGGCTCACATCAGTCACTGGGTCGTGTGATATCTGCACCGGTCCTGACCCGCCACATCCCTTCGCCAACCTCCACTGACCAGCACGGTGAAGTATGGCCTAAGATCGTCCACGATTGACACGGTGTGGGGGGGCCTCCATCCAGCAGTGGATTGACAAAGTGGCGTATATTATTATTATTTTTTAACTAATTGTCCATAAAAAAATTCAAAATAACAATATATTGGGAACATCACCGGACCTGCCACAATTGTAAACGACAATAAAGAGATAAAAGTTTGTGCTTGGGTGCAATAAAGTAAGCGAGGCAGTTTAATCTCTTT